CATCTTTGCTGCCTGGATCGCAAGGAAGGAACTTCCTGCCGGCTTCCTGGAAGCTTTTAATAAGGCCAACGCCGAAGGTCTTAAGCACCTCGATGAAGTGATTGAAGCCAATCCATATCCCTACTACAGCTTAAAGACTTATTATACAGAGAATATCCTTTATTACCTGGACGAAGAAAAGAAGAAAGGGCTTGCATTGTTTCTTGAAGAGTTGAGCAAGGCGTCGTAGATTGAACGCCGTTGTAATTTCATTGCTACTTTAACACATAAAAAAGAAGCCCGCCGGCTGTGGTAGTTTGCTCCTGCAAACCCACAGCGGGACGGACTCCTCTGTTTAACCGGAACTTTCAATCACTTAAGTACCAGTAATATTTAATAACTGGCAGCATTAATGCACCACCACCAGACGTCGTACATAAGACTCGGTGCCACTTGTGATCTTCAGCTGGTAGGTACCGCCTGCTAAACCGCTCACATCCAGGCCCTGGCTCAGATCATGACCCAGGTACTGCGCGGCCACACGGCCATCCGTTGTATACACAATCACATCTCCCTTCGGGGTTGTTAAACCCTGGAACTGTACACGGTCTGTCGCTGGATTGGGGTACAGGATCATCGTCTTTCCATCGGAGCTGCTGCTCCAGATCAGGGTACGGACCGGGCTATAGGCAGCACTGCCATCACGGTCGGCCATACGGATCCGGTAGTAACGCGTGCCCGTGCCGGGGTTCTTATCCAGGTAAGTATAGCTATGGCTTACATCGCTTTGACCCGCGGCCATTTCCTTACCCAGTGTTTCCCAGTTCACACCATCCGCACTGCGCTCGATACCAAAATAGTCACTGTTCTGCTCCATACCGGTCTCCCAGCTCAGTAACGCTCCTTCCGGCTGACGAACCGCTTCAAAACGAACCAGCTTCACCGGTAACGGGGTACCGCAGGGACCCAGGTTGCCCGTATAGTTGCTCAGGTAGCCCGGATTCCACGTCACACCCTGGTGCGAACCATTCGGCGAGGGGAACACCACATCAAAGTTGTTGTTGATGTTCAGGCTCTGGCTATTGGGGGAATTACTGCTGAATGGATCAAAAAAGAACGGGTCCGTCGTTTCAAGGATCGACAAACTGTCGATACAGCCTCCCGGCAACTTGAACGAAAACAGGATCTTGGGGGTGTTGATCGCATCCAGCTCGATGGCAGTCGTTCCTGTCGAGGACAGGGTCACGCCAAAATAATCCATCTTCGGATTCTCAACAGGACCGTTCACATAGTCTGATTTCGCCCACGTACCATTGTCATAATTGGTGATCGTAAACGATGAGATATCATACTTACCCGTCGAAGGGCTACCGCCATTACCCGCATCCGGGATCAGGATGAACAACTGCGCGGTGGAGGTCGATGGGGGGCTAAACGGCGCCAGGCTGTTGGTCTGGTAGCTCACTTCATACTGCTTCAAAGTCTTATTGTACGCCAGCCCGTACTGGACATGGGAGCCACTCGTCGCCTGGCCCCAGGCCCCCTGGCTGCACCCCATAAGGGTGCACGCCAGCAACAGGCCATTTGTTAAACGTTTTATATTCATGATCTTTTGTTTTTTGTTTATTGATGGATTCGCTTAGTTATTACGCGGTGGAACCTGTTCAAACATCACATACGTCTGGTTGTTATTCACATTCGCAGGGTGGTTAAACACGTTCTCAGAAATATAGTTTGCATCATTACCGGCACCCTGGTAGATCGCTGTACCCCGCATATCCACATCGCCCTGTGTGTATGCGTTATAGATATAACTCAGGTTCTGCGTCGTATTACCAGGCGCATTGTACACGATATGCTGCAACGCATTCTGATCATTGTTACCGCCATTGAAGATCACAAAACGATCCGCATTCACATTGCCGGCCCATAGTGCCAGGTGGCCGCCCGGCAGCTCCTTTTGCGCATAGTTGCCATAGGTGGCGACCCCGCCATTTGCAGGACTGTGCGTAAAGTCTACCGTCTGCGTGGTTGTGCTCAGCTGCAGCGGATCCTTGGTCATCACGCCCAGGTGATTACGATGGCGGATCACCAGGTAACTGTTCAGGTCGGTCACATTATCAAATGCTACCGGGGAGAATCCATCCATATCCACCACATCTCCATCGCGCTGCACCAGTGCAGAACGGGTGGCCACGACTTTCTGCGGGTCGGACGCACTGCGCAGCTCCAGGAACACCCAGTCTACGATCGAATTGTTCCCATTATTCCCAAGGGTCACAGCCGAACCGTACGGACCGCCGATCGTCTCCGGCGGATTATTGACCGGTACAAAGGCATTGACACCGGTGATCGGGTTTTTCAGGTCCGGGTAAGGCGTCGTCAGCGGGATCTTGTTCTGTGCCCGAAGGTTATCACGCATGATCGAATCCGATGGATAATCTACCGGGTTACGGCCATACAGCGCGCCCTGTAACAATACTTTCGGAGATAACAGTACCCGGGTCGGCAGGGCCGAAAAACGGATTTTTACGGTATCAAATACCGGGCACGTCACCCCTTGTAAGGAGGAGGCACCGGTGTATTGTTTCTGCACCATAAATACATAGGTGTATTCGGTGGCGGTGGTCACGCCTGCCGGACGACGGAACAACGGGTTGGCTACATTCGTTGCACTCAGCGCGCCGATCGGGCTGCCATTAAGTGCCGTCCATAAATAACCGATCGTTGTATTCGGCTCCATACCTGGTTGCGTGGTTGTCGGTCCGCCAAGGCTTACCGTATCCGGGGTGCTCGATACCGGGAGGATACGGTCCGGACCTGCATCGGCAACAGGGTTCACCGCCACATCTACACGCACACGTACCGTATCACTGCGGGTACAGCCATTGATCGTATCGGTTACCGTTAAGATAAAGTCGGTCGTTACCGGTGGTTTTACCAATACCGATGAAGTACGGTTGCTGCCGGATACATACTGGGACGGCGACCAGCTAAAGCTGGCACCCGGAGGGCCTGCCTGGTTAGGGTTGACCCCGATCGATACTTCTGCATTCGGGCAGATCGCCTTATCAGGGCCTGCATTCGCAAACACTGCATTGGTCACTACTACCGGCTTCGTATAGGTCTGGGTACAGCCTGCAAGGCTCACGGTCATCGTTACCGACTGGGTGGTGCCTGCCTGGTTGGCTGCCCACTGCGCCGTAAAGGTACTGCTCACCGTATCGCCGGTGATCTGTGGATTACCGGTCGCCGACCAGCGGTATGTTCCGCCCGGTACACCGGGGTTGGCTACAAAATAGCCATTCTCCAGCGCACAGATGCTTGATGGGCCGGCAATGCCGCTCACTATATTATTGGCTTCATGCAGCACGATCGGTGGCGTGGTCGTATCCTGGCAGGTACCGTTCTGGTTGCCTACCGTGATTGTATAACTGCCGCCGGACAGGTTGCTGAATACATTTGAACGCTGCCATGCACCGCTGTTTAACCGGTAGCGTAGCTGAGCCGTATCGCCGCTTGCATGAACGGTGATGCTGCCATTGTTCATCCCGCAGGCTGGCTGTGTACTGTCGATCGATACGATCACCGGCTTCGCAAATACTTCTACCGTAGAGGTTGCCGTGTCTTTACAGCCCTGTGGCGTGGTACGCACGACTGTGTAACGCGTTGTTGTCAGCGGGGCTATGGTACGTACCGGGTTGGTGCTGTTATCGTCCAGCCATACATAGGTATAACCTGCGATACCACCATCATCGGCCTTGATCGTTGTTTGCTGACCGGCACAGATGCTGACTATATTGGTCAGGGTCAGGGCCGGGCCGGGGCTGTTTACCGGGATACTCTGGATCGCTTCACAACCGCTCGCATCTACTACTTTTACAATGATCGACGAGATACCGTTCGGGGTCATCGTCAGGGTATTGGAAGACCCGCTCTGCAGGATCGCCCCTGAATTATTGGAGAATACATAGGTGAACGGCGCGGTGCCGGTGCCGGCATATACGCTGGCGGTGATCGTTACCGGGCTGTTGTTACACACCGGGTTATTACCCGACAGTACCAGTACCGGTATATTGCCGGTTGCCGTTACCGTGGTGCTGGCCTGCGCACTGCAATTGCCGGTTACATCGGTAACCGTTACGGTGTAGGTGCCGGCGGTAGAGGTGGTAAAGCTGGCGGTCGTTGCACTAAAGCCATTAGGCCCTGTCCAACGGTAGGTATAGTTGCCACTGCCCCCGCCTGCTACGGTTGCCGTTACCGTTGATACCGAGGTGGTACAACTGATCGGGGTGGAGCTCACCCGTACATCCAGGGCACAGCAAGGGATGATATGAATCGTTACCGAAGCGGTATCGACCCCACAGGTGCCTGATACGCTGTACACAAATTTATGGTCCATTGTACCTGGCGTACCTGCCGGGCGGAAACTGCCCGAGGCTGCCGTAAAGGTGCCGCCTGTGCCTGCCACCTTTGTCCAGGTACCCCCGGCTGGCGCATTGCGCAACAGGCTGTACAGGCTGATCGTTGGGGTTACATTATCACAGATCGTTGTATCCCCGCTATCTCCTGCATAGGTTGGCTCGATGATATTGACCGTGGCTGTACTGATGGCCGCTGCCGTACAGGGGGCTGTTGCATTGACCGTATAATTAAAGGTTGAGGTCGTAGATCCGGTAGGCATAAAGGTGCCTGCCGCAGCATCAAAGGTGCCACCCGTACCGCTGGAACGGCTCCAGAAACCACCGGCCTGCTCACCTGTGATCAGGTTGGCCAGGTAGATCAGTGTCGTTGCCGTAGAACATACCGAGGTTGAGCCATTGGTGCCTGCATTTGGGCCGGGCGCCAGACGGATGATAACGCTTGCCGTGGCCGCCGAACAGCCATCCGCGCCTGCGACTGTATAACGGAAGGTCGAGAGTGCAGGACCTCCCTGGGTATTAAAAGTACCTGTCGCAGCGTTAAAGGTACCACCCGTACCGCTCAACCGTATCCACACACCTCCG